ATGCAGTGCAAACAAAAGAATTTAAGTTTCTTAAATCTACCTTCATCACATGCTCACGTGATCACCGTATGGCGTGTGAAGTATTCACGATATACGGTTTGATTGCCGGGATCGGTCTATTTAGGCACATAGCAAGCTAAAAGATTTTGTTTCCTACAAAAAACTGGAAGAAAAAATCGTTTATCCAGATTTAGAAGGCTTAAGTTCGCGAAAGGTATTTTATGATAAAATATGGTAATAGGTTTCCAACCGTGATTTTCGATCGTGAACATTAAGAGACTGAGGTTGGTCTATATATATAAAAATGAATTGCTGTTCGTTAGTCTCGCTAAATAAAACTCGAGAACGGCTGAACCGATTTGGCTAATTTTGGTCTTGAATTACTTGTGGAAGTTCAGAGAAGGTTTAAAATGTAGCTAAATATGAAAATGCTCGGAATTAAAACAAATAACAATTTTGTTTTTCCTTTGATGTGTCCCCAGTCGGACGGATTCCTTTCGTTTTTTTTATACAAAAGTTTAGGTCTTTTATTTATCGATTGAGGCACTACGAAGTCTGCCGGGTCAGTTAGTATTATATATAGATTTACTGCGAACACGCCTAAGACAGTATTTCTGACTGCGTTTACTGAATTTAGCTCTAATATCACTTTAAATGAAGTTTTGTTCGAAATGGTTCAGGCATTGTTGATTTAAATTAATGCTGTCGAAATATGGACACCATTTTAGTAGTTGTGTTTACTATAAACAACTACTTTGGAATATCGTTAAAATATATACATATATTTTGGTTTCAATAAAGAGATTACTCTGCTCTTTTTCCACAGAATGTTGGCTTAAGCATTTGGAAAATTTTAACTTTTACGTCATGATTAATCACGTAATTTCGGATCCTCCCGATCCACTAATGGTGCTTTTAAGTACCTCAAGCACCGGTCATCGTTCTCATCGAACCCGTGGCTTGCGACGAAGGGCTCGGCGAGTAAATTAACTCACAGAAACAGCCCACTGAGTTTCTCGTCGGATCTTCTCAGAGGGTCGCTTTCCGATCCGGTAGTAGATTCTGCAAAGCACTGCTCTTGCTAGGGTTAGTGTTAGCAACGTCGTCAGGTTTGAACCCCGTGAGCTCGCCTACTCGCTCGATTACGCTGGCATAGCCTCTCAAGGCTAACAGCTTAGGTAGGGGAAAAAAAATTCAATATATGTAGTGTGTTTTGTTCCTAGCATCGATAGATTTTAATTTTCTCTGAAGTTTGACCCTTCTGTGTGGTTCGGGACCTTTTGCAAGTCGGTTTTGTGTCCGATATGATTGACTCATTAAGTCTCATCCAAGGCTCCGATGCGGGTTCTTGTGCGACAGGGGTTTTGAATTATCTCAACGACAAACGTTGATGCTCAATTTCTAGTTCACGGCTGCTTGAGAATAATGATCGCGTACTACACGACAGGTAGTTGCCAAATTATAGGAGCCGCCACTGGATTTTTTTTCCCAAACCACTGTTCCTAACTCTTTCGCTTCTGTTTATTTCGAGATTTCAATGATTCTCAATCATCAAATTCAATAGCGATAGTCAAATTACTTGTTAGAAAAAACAAAACTGATATCAATAAGCAGTTGAATCGCCTTCAAAGAACTCTCATGATTTTTGCTCTACACATTTTGAGGCACAGGTAGGTATATCAATAAACAATAAATCTCTCACATAAAAACGGAAATGTATCGATTTTACTTTCTGTCACTGTCGTCTTTAGTTTAAAATCGCCAACTGCTGAACACAACGCCTCTCTAGGTTTATTTTAAAACAAATAAAGTAAATTCATGTATTTTCGACATCATGATACATTAACAAAAAGTAGGTAATTGAACAAATGCCCACCGAAAAAAAATTTTTTTTTATATATAGCCCAAAAATTAACGCGCCGCTAATTTATTCGCATCGTATATTAAACTATGACAAAAACACGTGTAAAATTTAAATAAACGTATGAATTTTTAGATATATTAGGCGTGTTTATGCAAATATACGGCTATACGAAACGGCACTTTAATATTATTGTGCTATAATTATTGCTGCGTGAACTAAATGCAATTTAAAAGTTTTAATGAAAATTAGCATGTTATAATGATAACTAGAAACTTTATTCATTGTTCTATTGTGGCATGAACACGTTGTCTTTCGTTCGAATTCTTAAACGATTAGTTATATTTGATACTAGCTGTACCCGTCCGCTTCACTGGGCATTTAAAATTAACATTATTATATCTCACCCCCACAAAGATTCTCATCATTAACGCCCCCGCAACTGGTGTAGGGAGTCCAACACTCATATAAATATTAGCCTATCCATTAAGTACATTTATTTTCTACATGGATACCAAGTTTCAAGTCAATCGGATGCGCGGTTCAGTAGTTATAACGGAACATCCGTAAAAACCACTGTAGATTTATATATTAGTATAGATTGTTTTCATTCATTTAACATGTGATTTATTTAGGGTTTTAATGTACGACTTGAAGCGCCTCGTTGTTTTAAAGAAAGTTAGCTTTTGAATTGAAAATAAGAAATCCGGTCACAAATATAATCATTATTGTAATTCTACATTTATAGATGTATTTATATATTAGAAATAATACCCGCATAATTTAGAAATTATCAGTAATTGCTACTGAAAAGTCGTTATTGTAAGTATGTACCACTAATTTGACTATTTTTGCCGCGAAGTAGTCATGCGTTTCCGTTTGAAAGTTTGGGACAGTTGTGAACTATATAATTGAGACTTCGACCTCATGTCTCAAGGTAGATCACGTTGCCTATTCTCTCAACTTGCCCCCAAGAGAGCCGTGAGCTCATTCACCTAAGAAACGAGATAAAAACATGAAAGTAGTTAAAACGTCCTTGTCTTCAAATGAACAATGTATTTTAATCTAATTATTATCGCGACAAAATTATTAAACAAATATTAATATATGTACATGATAAATGTTAATATGTGATAACTTTGGTAATAAAAATAAAATAAAAAAATAATAATGATAAAAATATATTAATGTCAAGCATCGTTATCGCGAGAATGCACTATTTTCGTTATTTTTATTACGTATTGTTGCTTTTTTTTCTTTTGTTTTTAAATCTTGGAATTTTAAATATAAAATCGAAAAGGTCGTAGCACCAATGAGTTTCTTAAACCCGTTTAAAAGGTTACCATTATTAAGAAAATATCAGGGCATCGATAAATACAAGCAATAAATTACTGAAAGGATGGAATTATCATCTTTTTTCTTTCAATTTTTTTTACTCCGTTTTTTGGTGTTGTCTCAATGGGTATCCAAGTCTGCTTTTAATCATTTCTTGTAAATGTAAACCGAAACATATTCTTTCTCGGAAAGGAAATAAGACCGTTAGGGTTATTTTTGGTGTCGGCAATAGTTCATGCTCTGTATTGCAATAACTAAACTAAACAGTTTATTAGGGAAGGCGGCTTTCCGACTGGGATGTAAGTAAAAATAACTGTGCATTATTTGTTTCAATTATGATTTGTGGAATCTTTGAACAACGCAGTTATGGAACAGCAAAATCATATTCTTGCCGAAGCTCGGTCTACTGCAAAAATGGACTTTTGGTTTTGAAATCGTAACAATAAACCGTAATAATAATTGTGGTGAAATTAAGCAAAGCTTTGAGGCCATTCCGTCGAATTTTAACAGCATTTGAAGACGCTAATCGAACTAATGGGGTATTTAAATGGCACAAATCTTACTAAAGCCCAAATGTTTGTGTCAGTTTTTTTGTAATTGACTTCTGATCCGAATTGACCGATCTTTAGAGTTGATCGAACCTGCTGATAGGTCACCATTTTCAAACTTTGTTATGAGGCGCATGACCGATGCTACCTATCGTTCCCGTCTCGCGGATCAGTAAGACAGGCTGGCATGACCACGATAATACATTAAATCATTTAAAACCAAGCCCTGAAGTTAGGACCACATGTTGAAACGTCAACCAAACTCGATTGTAACACTGTTGCGGCTTAAGGCCATACCAAGAATTCATGCCATTCAAAAACACTTTAAAATTAGCGCAAAAAAAAAGATGGAAGTCATGAATTTTAAAATAGTTTTGTGCTTTCGAATGTGGAGTACTCCGCATTGTTTACAAACTGGCCAGTTCCAAAAACTCAATGCTACCATCGAACCAGGAGGGTTCTTTTCGTATGCATATTATAGCTAGGAACACTTTTGCGATTCAATCTCGTATTTAGTTTATTCATTTCCAAATCGCCCTACGTTTGTAGTATGAGATACATTGCGATTGGAGAATCGAAAAGAACTTGTTACTTCTGCAAACTGTCACTTGTTTTGATGATGATTGATATACATTAGAAAAGGGCTTCTTCACGGGTTATTGCAACTTGGTCTAAAAGATAAGATGCCCGATGTATCCGTTTCAAGCGTCTTCAAGACCCGCAGAAAAGTACTATTTCTTTTTTCTTCTTCAAAGAAATGCGTTATTTACATATGCTTACGAACGACTTCCACGATAAAGACATGTTGCAATAAAAAACAAACCGGCACAATTTATAAATTTATTGAGATTACCCAAAATCCTTCGTATTTCCACCGCGGAACGCGGAACGTTGAGACTCTGACCTCATGTCTCAGGGTGGGTCTCGTGATCCAAGTAAGCTCCAGTAACCACTCAAGAACGGATGGACCGTGAATTTTTTCTTCCAAGTTGTCCTATAATACTTACCTAGTTACTAACTTAGAATTTACCGAAAGTCCTTGTTTTTATATCTATCTCATTAATATTACGATAAAATAATGAAATAAAATAATATAATAATACGATAATATAATACTAATGATATACGTACACGATAAATGATGTGACAAATGGTAATAATAATTTGCCGTAAAAATAAAACATATTACGATTATAATGGTTCATAATTATTATGCGCTTTAGGCTTGCATCCCAATGATCCTTAATGCGTTTTAGATACACATGTACCAGCAATCAATGATGCGTGCCGAAGAGATTAGGCGGAGGCGTCGCGACGACAACCCTGGAACGCACACGGCGGTCAATAATATTTTAGCTGCTGCAGCCAGGGAAATGGAAGAGGCTAGGAATGCTGCAAGAGTCAGCGAACGCGTCGCTGCCACTATACAGACGGAGCACGAGCAGGGTGAGTAGATTCCATCACTACATAGTATAAAACAAAGTCGCTTTCTCTGTCCCTATATCCCTATGTATGCTTAAATCTTTAAAACTACACAACGGATTTTTATGCGGTTTTTTTAATAAATAGAGTGATTGAAGAGGAAGGTTTATATGTATAATAACATCCATTAAATAGTGGAGAAATCAATAATAAATTACAGTTTCCAAAGCGAAGCGAGGACGGGTCGCTAGTTTGTAATAAACTTCATCGGAGAGGGAGACCTGGTTTTTCTTTGCCTTTGTAAGCTGACGAACGTCCAAATCACTTGATGATGAGTGGTTATATCGCTCATGGATATCGACAATGTCAGGGGCTTGACCAAGTCGATACCAAACAAACAAAATTGTAGGAAACTAGTGAAGGCTTTTTGTGGATGAAGTAAATCTCGTTGGTGCGATGAGCCAATATACATACCTAGTCAGGTCATAAGTATTGTCACACAGTAAATACTTTTCTTTTAGAATGCTGGCCACAAAAAAGTTTATTGAATTCGAATTTCGATTGTTCATGAAAATAAAAATGTATACTTTTATAATTTTATATTAAACATGTGACAGAATTTATGACCTGACTAGGTATTATTATATAAATTTTGGATTGTTTCTGTACAATTTATAGCTGTCCTAAAATTTAGAAAGCTCTCTCTTGGTATAAACATATTTGTTTTTAATTTAAATGTATATCAGATCGCTACACGGGAATGGAATTTTATTTTGGGGCCAGATGATAGTGTGTGATAAGTCCACGATTGTTTGTTTATCTTTGAGACACGAATTTAAGGTCAACAGAAAGTCCTGTACGTGGGGTGTGTTGAGAATTTGGGTCGTATTCTGAAAACAACATAAGTCATATTTTTCAAGCGACTATATCTATACATATATACATAGGTCCGTTGGTTTGATCGGGACATTGTTTGCAAGTCAGCCATACGGAGTCGTTGTGGCCCAAAAGATAAGATGCCCTGTGTACTCGTATCGAGCGATGCGACCAAGCCAGTGTTCAATTCCCGCAAGCGGGTGCCAATTTTTCATTTTAATTGAGTACTTAGGAAATGTTCGCGAGTTTTACCACGGCATAGAAAGAGAATCGTGCTATAAAAATCAAATCAGCAAAAAAATATAATTTACGTAATTAATGATAGATAAATGTCTTATGGGTCTACCCGGACCCACTGCCTGCCGCATGGCAGTAATGCTTTCCGATCCGTAATGTGGAACAACCGTTATATGAAATGATCGAAATTTGGACCTTATGTCAGAAGGCGTATGGCGGCATTTACGTTATGATGCCCGTGGACGCTGGTAAATAGTAAACTCACCATTTACCAAGTAAAGTAAGAAAATCAATATATTATAATTAAATAGTAACAAACTTGGATCGGTATGATTCTGTTCTGCTTCTTGTAAATCCAATTTCGGTGTCAGTGAGTCATTAATTCGCAAATTTCATCAGGGATTTTAATGCGTGGCCATTCTCAGCCAGTTTACCGAGGGTGAAGCAGAGAAGGGTCAAAATATACACTTTAGTTCATTGATTTCCACGGTGAAGGAATAACATCGTGTAATAAAAATGAAACCCGCAAAATTATAATTTGCGTAATTACTGGTGGTAGGACCTCTTGTGAGTCCGTGCGGGTAGGTACCACCACCTTGCCTATTTCTACCGTGAAGCAGTAATGCGTTTCGGTTTGAAGGGTGGGGCAGCCGTTGTAACTATACGTGAGACCTTAGAACTTATATCTCACGGTGGGTGGCGCATTTACGTTGTGGATGTCTATGGGCTCCAGTAACCACTTAACATCAGGTGGGCTGTGAGCTCGTCCACCCATCTACGCAAAAAAAAAAAAAAAACGGGTGTTGGACCATCGGGGTATTGCAACGTCCGCATCTATGATCGGAAGGAATAGTACGTTTTACCAGGGCAGGAGAAGGAAGTTATAATAGCTAAGCTAACATTGAAGAGTATAGCCTTTTTTTTTTTTTTTTTTGGTCAGGAGGAAATCGCCGGACTTCCGCCCTTTTCTGGGGATACTGGGCGGGGTATGTCAGAGTCGAACTGACTAAAACCTCCTGTCGCTCAACAACCAACGTCCAAACCTCGCATGAGACAGAACTCATGACAAGGCAAAGGGGGGAAAGTGAAGCGTTTAGTGCGGAGCACATCTCTCCCATCACCCTCCCCCTCGGGACGCCGGACTGGCGGTCGTCGGCGCCACGACCACCAGCCCTCTCGGTCGGCAGACTGTCCGAAGCCCGCCTAGATGGCGCCGGTTAGAGTGGGTTACCCTACGGAATACCCCGCTGGGCCAGAACCAGCGTGGGTCGAGGATAGCCGGCCTTCCATCACCCGGATGCTCTTGCGTAAAACGCGTGCAGAGCAGCTTGCACGTCGTCTTCTTAGGCCCCCCTCGCCGGTCCCCAGACCGACATGTGAGGGGGACCCGAAACACTTAGAGGGCCAGGGCTTGGGCGAGATCCGCCTCCCTGGCCCCCGCTCGACGGCGGCGGGATTGTGCGTCTCTCACGCGCCCCGCCGCCTCCTTCTGCGAGATGGTGCACTCGCAGAAGTCGAGCATCGCCTTCCACGACTCGTCGTCGCCGAGCATCGATGCCACAACACTCGGCAACGACAAGTCGTTTCCTATTTTTGCGACGAGGACACGGCGCCACCCCTCCCATGCGGGGCAGGCGACGAGCGTATGCTCTGCCGTGTCCAAGTCGCAACCACAATGGTGGCACTCTGCCGTCGGCTCGGCTCTGATCCGGTGCAGGAACTCACCGAAGCAACCATGCCCAGTGAGCACCTGCGTGAGCCGGAAAGTGAGGCGTCCTCTGTCACGATTCACCCAGTTCACAAGAACCGGGCGAATCGCCTCGACGGTCCTACGACCAGCCGAAGGATCAGCCAGCCGTCTGGACCATGACTCCAGCACGGACCGCCGAGATTGGCCCCTCCGCGCTCTGACCACACTGGGGCTGGGACGCGCCACGCCCCGGGCACGAAGGTCAGCCCGCCACTTATAGTCAGCGGCGAGCGCCTCCGCTTCCAGAACCCAAGGCGGCGTCCCAGCCAGTAAGAGTATAGCCTAGTTTGTTTTGTCCGTGTGAAATGCGTTTATTGATATATGAAAACGTTAAATAGTCATCGTAGCCCCGGCCAGGGTTTTTTGCGGTCAGGTCGCCTTTGAAGAACAAGTCATTGTGTTGTTACCGGAAAAACCGTGAAGACGGTGCAAAGCTTCTAGGTTCGTGCGTCAAAATAATCTCTGGAAACGCATTTAACTTGTTTACCGGCAAAATGTATGGTTTTATTAAAATTAATACATAAAAGATTTTCCTCATTAATGAGTAAATTTTTTAACAGTTAATATTCCCAAATATGTTTCTGGTAGGATGTGCTGTACTATATTCCTGCCTTCTTATGTCGCCAAGAAATTATATGTTTTTATTTATTTATTGCTTAGATGGGTGGATGAGCTTACGGCCCACTTGGTGTTAAGTGGTTAACGGAGCTCATAGACATCAGCCAGGTTAATACCACCACCCACCTTGAGACATGAGCTCTAAGTCTCAGTTTTTACAGTACTTCGGCTGACCCACACTTCAAACCAAAAAAAACGCATTACTGCTTCACGGCAGAAATAGGGTGGTTGTGCCTGCCCGTGCGGACTCACAAGACGTCCTACCACAAGTGTTTCAGTTTGTTATTATTATATTGGAACTGTAAAAAATTCAGGCCTAATAGGCCAAAGTGGGCATCTTTTATTTTCCTACCTACACTACACTGAGAGCCTTGAGAGGCTATTTCAGCTTCGTCTTGCCGTGTAGGTGAGCTCACGGGGCTCAAACCGAAGTGATGCTACCACTGGCTCTAGCAAGAGCAGTGCTTCGCAGAATTCACCACCCGATCGGAAACGCGACCCACTGAGAAAATCCGGCGAGAAACTCAGTGGGCTGTGTCTGTGTTAATTTACTCGCCAAGCCCTTCGTCGCAAGCGAGGGGTTCGGCGAGGACGGTGACCGGTGCTTGAGGTACCTAAAACACCGTTAGTGGATCGGTAGGATTCGTAATGACGTATGGGCATCAGTATTCACACTCGGTTAATGGCTAAAATAGAGATTTTTAACGAAGCCAATTGACCAAACATTTAAGTACGCAAAGCTGGTGACCTCGTCGTTTTTAAATCTACAAACGAAAATTAAATTTCTCTTATGAACATATATTTTATTTTTATTGCCCTTGTAGGCAGTCGAGCATACGGCCCACCTGATGGTGAGTGGTTACCGTCGCCCATGGACTTCAGCAATGCCAGGGTCAGAGCCAAGCCGCTGCCTACCGTTGATCTCATGTGTATTTGAAAACAATCATAACATTATTCATAAACGTCTGTTTACGTCACGGCAGCATGTCGACTCTGTATTATTCTTACATACCTGTCCAATTGAATTAATTTAAGTACGAGCGGGAATTGATTGACTGGTAAGGGCCATTTGCATAAATGCCAGTAGGAAAGTAAGCAGAGAGATACATGAATTCCATCTAAGCTTTGATTTTTATAATTCGAATTGTTTTTTTTTTTTTAATAAATTATGATTTTATTGCACTGAAATCGTTAAAAATAGTTGATACTTTCACTTTTAGTGTTCTAATTGTTGCGATGTTCGTGTTCTATTTATTTTTTTAATAAGTTATGGACATTACAGTCCGTATGTAGTGACTGAACAAATTCTTTCCGAAATATGTCACTATCAAATATGTGGCTGTTGAGTGCGCATGAGTAGACACCATCAACATAATGACAATCGTCTGGACCTCAACTATACTTTATTTATTTATTTTATTGCATAGTTGGGTGGATGAGCTCACGGCCCACCTGGTGTTAAATGGTTACCGGAGCCCATAGACGACTACAACGTAAATGCCGCTACCCACCTTGTGACATGAGTTCTAAGGTCTTAGTTTTTACAGTACCACGACTACCCCACCCTTCAAACCGAAACGCATTACTGCTTCAAGGTAGCGGCAGTGACGTATAAAGGTCTGTAGACTCCGGGAACCAATTATCATCAGATGGACAAATAATGTGTTTACCCATCTAGTGCAATCAAAATTACGCACTTATATTTTTACTAATTTACGCAATGTATTTTCTGTTTATAGTCGATTTAATTAACTACAATAGGATTTATTTTGGTTATCGAAATACTGATAAACTATTTGATACTTGATTCGAACTGTATGATTGATCTCGTAAAAATAAGATAAGTTATCTTTTATAAAGTATTTCTAAATAGAAGGGTTTTTTTATATGAGATAAGAAACATATTTCGGTCCTATACTTCTTAGTGTGTACTAATTATTCTGTGACACTAAATTAATTATCTGATGGTATGCAACAATGTGACGTCATACAACTTGCTATGTCAATCCAAACAATCCATCCAGTACCAATTGATGTAAAAAAAAAAAACATAATATCAAATAAAGTTTTGGACGCTAAAATGAGTATGTAAACTTTATCGATATCAGACATACTTCTTAGTAAAGCATTTGCACATTGTTACATTCAAATATGTGTAAATACTTTTCAGCCAGCATAAGACAGTAATAATTGTAAATAGACATGCTTTAACAAAAACCGACTTCAAATAGAAAAAAAAAGATATTCCAAAACAAATAAATATACACTAAAAACAATAATCATCGAAATCGGTGGCGTGATATTGAGTTATTGAGTCATTCATCTATTTGTCGCGCACGTACTTAATACAAATTTAAGACTTATATGGTTTTCTCACCATTATAGCTTTCTAATAAAAAAAGAATCATCAAAAGTTATGAGGTAACACACATAAAAAAAAACATACAGTTGACTTGAGAACCTCCTCCTTTTATGAAGTTGGTTAAAAAGACTTTAAAAAAAAAAACAACACCGTCTTTATAATGACCAGGAAATTTGTGTATGTGTCATCAACAATTGAGTAATTAATGTCGCAATTTTAGTCAATGCGCTCACTTGTGCCATATATTGTCAATAACACGACTTTATTTGGCCGTCTTGGTATTCCGTGGCGGTGGTATTCCCGCGGAGCATTACGTCAGTTGTGGCTATCGTGTAGCTGCGTTGTGAAATTTTAGATCTAACGAGTGGATTTTGGAAACGATGATGCGGTGTGGCTCCGATACTATCTCTTCTCGAGCTTAATCGATCACTGAGTGGCGAGCAATTACTGTTAACGCGAAACCCTTCTCCACATCAGTCCTCCAGGGCCTCGCTGCAGTATTTGCTAGGACCACCAAGATGTGCACCGACAGAGGTTCCAAGCGGGCTCACGCCCAGACCCTTCAGCACCCTTCAGTCTTATGATACGGCTTCGATCCTACCAACAACCTTTTTTTATCGATAGGGCTTATGTGTACTAGTAGTCGCCTGGTAGTCGAAATTTTACTATAATTATGAATTTAAATTATAAGTTTTAACATTATTATGGTTCTGTTGTCAAAGACTACTTCTATAATAACAGATTTCACTAAGGCTACACTATAGACAAATAATATTAAAGAAATCAATATTCTCAACTTTACCACAGACTTTAACAATAAACAAAAGAGTATATATGCGTGTGTGTGTGAGTATCAAATATATGTTAGTGTGTGTAATGTTTTCTTTATTGGTTTAATGTATTTTTTATGTATTATTTAAAAAAGATATTAGCATTGTGTACTCTTTCTCTATATTCTCTATAAGTGTAGAAAATTTTATACTCGTTCGTCCGCGCAATTTTCGTAAAACGGGATACAAAGTTTTTGCTTCACGTACCTAATTAATATATAGATTATTTGTCTATAGCTCTCGCAGCGGCCACGTCAACGACACCAGAACTAAAGCGTGAATCTGAAGACGATCGCCCCAAAAAACGGGTCTCGATTTTGTCACCGGAAGACGACAAAATGAGGGCCAAGAAGAAACCTATGACAGTACGTTTCCAAGACGAGAAAGCTGACGAAAGATCCAGCAAAGTGACTTCACCCGGTAAGTGAACTTAGGATATTACTCTCCCTGCCCGAACTCCCCTGCTAATAATACGCTATAAGATCCACTAGATGCCCTAAAACTATTTTGATTTCAATAACCCAGCGATCGGGGAACCGGGTTAAATTACCCCAAATGGCGTAATATGAAATTTTGGGGGTAAAAAATATATATTGAACTGAAACTTGTTTAGAATCGTTATGATTTCAAATTATCATGGGGGCTATAATATGAAAGATGCTAAAAAGAAGCGTTTTCGTTTTTTTTTTTGTTCTTCGCCATGGGGTAATATCAACTTACACAAAAATATGTTGTGGTAATAATTAAAAAGGTACCCCGACCGCTGCTATAACCTGATGTGTAATAACTACAAATTACAAATGAAAGTAATCCGCCGAGTTTTGAATACCATTGTAAATTTCTGATAACATATCCTAAGTCCTGAAGATTAAGACTGCCATTCATCATCAGCATACATGCATACACTGTTGGATTTAGATCTTCTAAAACGTTCGCCACGATGACTAGTCCTGCGTCACGCGCATTTAGGGGATTCTCGCCTTCTTCATCAAACCATATATCAGACTCGTGGGAGACCTATTCCAGCTTTCCCTTCCGGTCTGCGGTCGTCACTCGAGGGCTTTTTGGCCTCAGAGGATATCTGGCCAGTGTCACTCACTGCAACAACCATTATTACAATAAAATTAAAATTTCTAAAATCTCACAACAAAAGTCGTTGAAGACATGAAGTCGTTTCTCTGCGGAGAAACGTGAATCGGGGCATGTTAACACTCATAATAAACTAGAAAAATACTTACCAAATGATACACAAAGGTTAAAGTTTCAATAGAATTTGCCAGCTTTTTTTTCCTACCTATGCTGAAAGCCTTGAGAGGCTATTTCAGCTTCGCCCTAACATTTGTAGGTGAGCTCACGGGGCTCAAACCGGAGAGTTGCTAACACTGACCCTAGCAAGAGCAGTGCTTCGCAGAATCTACCACCGGATCGGAAACGCGATCCACTGAGAAGATCCGGCGAGAAACTCAGTGGGCTGTGTCTATGGGTTAATTCGCTCGTCGAGCCCTTGGTCGCAAGCGACGGGATCGACGAGGACGGTGACCGGTGCTTATGGTGCCTAAAAGCACCGTTAATGGATCAGGAGGATCCGTAATGACGTGCTTTGGGTGACGTCGACGGTTTACCATTCGGTCTATAGGGTCGGGTATGTAGTTTCCAGCGACCACGACAAGAGGGTTCTCATGTCGTGCCGCCTTCTCAAAGTGGCGCAGCGATGCCGAGTGTAGATACTTACTAACGGAGTCGAGCTCCAGGTCATCGTGGAATTTGCCAAGGATGCTACTAATATGTTAATAAATTGAGCCAGTTTATTTAAAAAAAAATTATACTTGCTTAGAGATTTGAATTCCGGCTTAGCATACGATACGAGTAATCGTCCTATCCATTAGGCCATGCTTTATGTAGGTACCTTAAAATTTTAGTAAAGTTTTAATTCACAAAATATTTTCAAAAGTCGTTAAAATTATCGCGCAGCTATCCGCATGTTAAAATCAGATGATTGCAGTTTTTGTACGTACATTGAAAAATCTCAGATAATAATAATAATAAAAAAAAACAATTCTACTGAATTTAAACAAAATATGACCAATGCTATGTTAGAAAAACATTAGTCTAAAGTTTAATCGTTCTACGCTTTTTGTGAATATTAACACAAAAGAATTGAAAAAAAAAAACCTTACACTAGACGTTTCTTTCTATCAAAGTAACTACTAAAAATATATTTTACAAATAAAATAATTTAAAATTCGCTTCTTACGTACATGCATATCACTAATGATATTTCAACATATTTAAATTTAGGGTTTTTCCTCGTAATAGCAATTCATTTTAAATGTCACGAATTTGATCTTAGAAACGGTTAGATAATATTATTTTATCCGGCTTTAATTGTGTTACTGTTGTTTCTTACCTTTTCCTTCCCAACTGCAACGTCATTGTGGTTTTCGGCCAAAATTGAAAATTGAAAAATTTAAGAGAAATAACTACGCAAAAAATCAAAATCGGAATTACTAATTTTTATCCAAATTTAATTTTATAATGTAACTAGCTGACCCGGCAGACTTCATAGTGCCTCAATCGATAAATAAAATACCTAAACTTTTGTATAAAATAAACTTAAAACAAACAAAAGGAATCCGTCCGACGGGGGACACATGAAAGGAAAAACAAAATTGTTATCTTCATTTAATTCCGGGCATTTTCATATTTATCTACCTTTTAAACCTTCTCTGGACTTCCACGAATAATTCAAGACCAAAATTAGCCAAATCGGTTCAGCGGTTCTCAAGTTTTAGCGAGACTAACGAGCAGCAATTCATTTTTATATATAGAGATTAATACAAATTCTTAAATGTGTTTGTTATGAGATTGTTTAGTTCTTTTGTTTAATAAAACGTGTTTACTGGATACATTTTAACTAGGCAACGACATAGGCAATTTGTATAAATTTACAAAGTTCCCGATTTCAATAGATAATTTAAAAATAATCTCCCGGAACTAAACAATGACATAATAATATAGCTCGTAAATAAAATGCAAACCGGATTTTCTCTTTATAAAACACAACTTTTCACGTCACGAATCATGAAAATATATTTGTGATTTATTGTCAAGATTAGAAGTAAAAATATTTACTGTCGACAGAGGCTTGCTAATGTTTTTTTATATATATTCATTGATATATATATTGATGTATATTATATTATATATATATGTATGTACATATGTCATTATTTGGCATTCTCTACTGGCTAAACATTTTTATGTATTTCATCAAATTATCCTAAATTATCATACCTACAGAAATGAACAACGTAGTCAGCCACCTGATACCAGAGATCTTTAATTGCTATTTTTCTTATTCACAACGGAAAATATTGTAATAAAAACGTATTTCTTCACGTTGTTTAATTATCATATATTATTATGTCGGAGATGGTTATTAGTTTAGTAGCTAAACGAAATGTAGCACGATTCCCGAGAGATGGCATCACAGTTTCCCCGACATATATTTAGAGCGAAAATTATTAAATAGCTGTTATGTAATTACAATAAATTATTTATTACCATCACTTAAGTGAGACGGTTTTAAATCGGAAGATACGGTGCGAGCCCATCACAATTTCCGTCCGTATTAATAGTAAGATATCCCACTTACCGGCCGTCTGGTGTAGTGGTAAGTGACATGTCACTACACAAGGGGGTTGCGGGTTCGAATCCCGCCAAGGGAAAATATTTATATGATAAATATAAAAAATGTCTTTTCCAGGGTTATGAATCTATATTAAATATATGTATGTGTATAATAAAAATCTTACATTTATTTCCGTTATCTGGTACCTGTAACACAAGTTCTTTACGAACTTATCACGGGACCAGTTAACGTGGCCTGATTGTTAGTAAATATTTATTTATTAATCTAACTAAATCCCTAGTCAGGTAGGTAGGTAAAACTATCAGAAGTCGAATGTCCGAAAAACTGTCGTTTAAACATTCCTCACTCATATTTCTGTCATTATGAAAGGAAAAAGAAGAATAAAGAAATAAAAATAAAATAATGAAATTCATAACGAGATTATAAATATTAAAGAACGTTATCATGTTTACTAGAAACGAAAATAGATAAAAGCGTACGTTACAGTAGCATTATAAAATAAATTAAATTAAAAGTGGTCAAAATCATGTTTTTTTTTTATTGCTTAGATGGGTGGACGAGCTCACAGCCCACCTGGTGTTAAGTGGTTACTGGAGCCCATAGACATCCACAACGTAAATGCGCCACCCACCTTGAGATATAAGTTCTAAAGTCTCACGTATAGTTACAACGGCTGCCCCACCCTCCAAACCGAAACGCATTACTGCTTCACGGCAGAAATAGGCAGGGTGGTGGTACCTACCCGCGCGGAGTCACAAGAGGTCCTACCACCAGTAAAAGACCACCATGTTCAAAGATTCCGTTACAAACATACATACGTCTGAAGCTAATAAAAGCGTATTAGAATACTTGATAGATTTTGTAGAAAAATCACGCAATCTCAACGTTGCAGCACCTTATTTAAAATTTTATAACATTTATAAATGATATGGCATTTTGCACTAATAAAACGATATCAAAAATAAAACTTGAATGTCAAGAAAAACGAATTAAAGAAATGAATTATTGCAGTTTCATTTCAAACAATACTTATAGTGAAGAGGAAATATTACTTAATTAGATTACAGAATTAATATTTCATATTAAAAATAATATCTGAAGTTATGTATGATTTTTTTGTGCCGTTTCGAATAATCCTTCCGTGAAATTGTAAAACTAATAAAATAAACTCTGTGAGCTGTTTCGAATTAAATAAAATACAAAAATATAGAATATAGCATAAAGGATATAATTATTTAAAAAAATCTCTATATGACTTAAAATAATCAGATATCAGAGAAACAATTGCAACGACCTTAGGTATTCATACTAAAATTTGAGCGGATACTACTATATTTTAATTATTTTAAATTGAATGCATTTGCCAATTATAATACGATCCAAACAACGAGCAGAGGTCGCAAAAAAAACTATAATGAAACGTAAAATAAAACATTCTTTATATTAGCATCGCGTATAATTTAATTAAAATTAAAAATATCCAGACACAAAAATTAAACTTTTTGGTTGCCCAACATGAATCACACACATATGAAATATGTCTGACATTTAAAAATTATTATGAACGCACACAGTAATATCAATTTTTTTTTTTGATTCCTCGTGCTTGCGATCGTACTAACGACCTTATGTGTTATAACTTAAGGTTGTAAGTTGCTATCGGAGCCCATATATATCAGAACGTGAATGCCGCCACCCACCTTGAGATATGAGGTCTTAGTCTGAATTGTACAGTATAAACTGTCCCACTAACTAGAAGACAATAGTG